AAATTTTTGTGCACCGGGCCTCTAGTAGAATATAAGAAAAGTGTTACAAAACTTCAGGGAATCACTCATAGTTATGGAAACAAAAGATAACAAAAAGTTGTCATTAGGTACAAATTACTTAAAAATTTGCAGAGCAAATAATTTTGAACTTCAGGTGCAATTCATATCCATGCCACCTCTTACATTTTTTGTTTTCCCAATTTTCAGTTCATATAAATATTTAGGAGGGTGAGCTAGAGAGGGCAGAGGTCAATTAAAGACTGACCCTTTTGTGCAATGCCAGGAGTACCTCAAAATCAAGGGGGGCACAGGTAGAATGGTACAGTAAAGAGATTACATTAGGGATGCTCAATTGTCTCAAGGCTCTTTCAATGGGTGGTGCCCTAAGCCTCTGAACTAGCGTTCCTCTAACGAGCACAGCCCTGCGTCCAAAGGAACAGCTTTGAGGGATGGGTGAGCTTCCTGGCTCGGGCTCTGGCGGTTTTGAAAGGGTTTATGTGTGACGTGGCCAAAGCCACCATATGGAATATATGCTGATGGGCCTAGGAATCGAAATGAATTGTTTCCTTAAATAACTTTAAACTCTGAGAAAAATTCCCCCAAACTAAGATTTATATATATATACTAGAGGCCTTCCTTCCCCGGGCTGCCAGCACCAGCTTCCCTCCGGCACCCAGGACCCGGGCTTCCCTTGCATATTATGCTTTTATTATTATAGATGCTTTATACATATTACTATCTATCAATCTGTCTATTAATCAAATCAGGGTTTCTCAATAGCATCATTATTGACATTGTTGTGCATTTTAAGATGTTTAGCCACATGCCTGCCTTTACCTACTACAGTTGTGACAATTGAAATGTCTCTAGACATTGCCCAATGTTCCTTAAGAGGAGCAAAATTACCCCCTCCACAACCATTGCTTTAGATATCTATTTATTTATACACCTACTTTTCATAGTGCCACCAAAATTAGTGTTTTAACAACTGTAGAGAGGCTAAGATGACTACCAAATGTCTCAGATGACAATCCCAGCCAGTATTCAATTCTGGGAACCCCTGGAAAGGCTTTACAACCAATAATCAAAAACTGGCCAATACTACAAAGCATTTCCAACACCCAACAAGTTTCTAAATTCATCCTCTGACATCTTTTCAAATTTCTAAGTTACCTGCAAGTCTGAATCTCTAACGAGACAATTCCTCTAGACCAGCGGTTCTCAACCTGTGGGTAGCGACCCCTTTGGAGGTCGAATGATCCTTTCACAGGGGTCACCTAAGACCATTGGAAAACACATAGATAATTACATATTGTTTTTGTGATTAATCACTATGCTTTAATTATGTTCAATTTGTAACAATGAAATTGGGGGTCACCACAACATGAGGAACTGTATTAAAGGGTCGCGGCATTAGGAAGGTTGAGAACCACTGCTCTAGACTATGAATGAAAAGTCCTGCCTCAGGCAAAGAGGCATGAAATGAGATTAAGACTGTGGTTGGCCTGGTGACTGCCTTCTGTTGGCAAGTAAGCTTAGCCTTCATGTTGAAATTCATACCTACTGTTCAATGCTCCCTCCAGGCCAAGGAAGCCTCCAAATGCACTCAGAAGAAAGGAAATAAAATTAAGCAAGCTGAGAAAACAGTTACTGAGAGTTTCCTTCTCAACACTGTATCTTCTTTAGATGTTTAGGTTGGTGAAGGTGGTGCGTGTGTAAAACCTTACAGACATAACATTGATAAACCAACTTCCAATTTTCTCCTGGAAAACAAACTACATAACCTAGAAATGCAGAAATAATTTCTTTAAAAAACATTTTAATTGAATTTATTTAAACTAAAATTACAAAACAAAATCAGTCCACTTGCCCTGCATCTGTCCCACCCCCCACAACTACCAATCTGTACTCTGTATCTATAAGTTTGGTTTATTTATCTTTTAAGAGGACTTGTTTTTTAATCCTCACCTTAGGACATGCTTATTAGCGGAAGGAGGGAGGGGGAGAAAAAGGGAGAGAGAAGGAAAAAGAGGGAGAGAAAAAGAAAGGGAGAGAGAAACCGGTATCTATCGGCTGCCTTCCATACGTGCCCCAACTGGTTTCTGGGAACCCCTGGAAAGGCTTTACAACCAATAATCAAAAACTGACCAATACTACAAAGCATTTCCAACACCCAACAAGTTTCTAAATTCATCCTCTGACATCTTACAGACATAACATTGATAAACCAACTTCCAATTTTCTCCTGGAAAACAAACTACATAACCTAGAAATGCAGAAATAATTTCTTTAAAAAAAGAAATGAAAAGGTATGTGCCCTGATAGGGAATCAAACCGGCAACCCTTCGGTGCACAGGACAACGCTCAACCAATTGAGCCACTCCAGTTGGGCGGTTTCTTTCTTTTTTTAGATTCTGCATGTAAGTGAAATCATAAGGGATTTGTCTTTCTCTGGTTTCTTTCTGGCCTCATCAAGAGGCACAGAGCTAAGTAATTACGAGGGCTCATAAAATTGCAACTCTCTAGATTAGGAAGAAAAAAAGAAATAGAGTTCACTGACAGTATTTCTAAAAATGGTGAATGTCTTATCTAAACTACCAAATTACAGTCTTCTTTCCCAAGCTATAAGGATGATTATGCTCCTCAGAACCAGGGTGGCGGAACAAGCAAAATGCAGGATGAGCTGGGGACAGAGGACAGCTGTGAGCATTTAGAGCCCCTTTAAGGGCAACGGGCACTGTGCAGTGTGGTTTCCCAGTACAAGCCTTTGCTCCTTGGAAAATGTTTGGGGATCTGCTTCCCTTTAAAGTTTCAATGCGATTTTTATGAAGATTCCGTTTTATGTAAACCTTTAAATCTTTTCTGATTTAACAACTCAAGAGCTGTTGACTCTTGGCCTCCCAGAGATACGGCATAAACTTTGAACATTTGAAAATAAAAAACCAATAAAAAGCATTAAGTGACTAATTTAACTTCCATTGGCTGGGCATAGCTGAGTGTGTATTTCCTAAACTCTCCCCAGCACACAGGTACAAAACCTGTGATCACTATCATCTCATCACTATTGTACACATCCCTTCTCTTCCAACAGATATGGAATAAAC